CACACACACACACACACACACACACACACACACACACACACACACACACACACACACACACACACACACTCACACACACACACACACACACACACACACACACACACACACACACACACACATTCTCACACACACACACACACACACACACACACACACACACACACACACACATTCTCACTCACACACACACACACATTCTCACTCACACGCACACGCACACGCACACGCACACGCACACAAACCACACGCACACGCGAACACGCGCACGCACACGCACACACCACACACACACACACAAACCACACGCACACACGCGAACACGCACACGCACACGCACACGCACACGCACACGCACACCACACACACCACACACACACAACACCACACGCACACACGCACACGCACACGCACACACACACACACACAACACGCACACACGAACACGCACACGCACACGCACACGCACACCCACACACACACACACACACACACACACGCACACGAACACGCACACGCACACGCACACGCACACGCACACCCACACACACACACACACACACACACACACGCACACACGCGAACACGCACACGCACACGCACACGCACACCCACACACACACACACACACACACGCACGCACACAAACACACAAACACACAAACACACAAACACACAAACACACAAACACACAAACACACAAACACGCAAACACGCAAACACACAAACACACAAACACACAAACACACAAACACACAAACACACAAACACACAAACACACAAACACACAAACACACAAACACACAAACACAAAAACACACGCACACATGCAATCACAGGCACACAAGTACACACACACACATACAACCCGCACAAAAAACGCACGAACACAAACCACGCGCGCACACACACACACACAAAACCCGCACAAAGCCACACGCACACACAACAACACGCACAAAGCCACACGCACACACACACACAACAACACGCACACACACACACACGCACACACAACCACGCACACACACACACAACCCCACACACACACACACAACCACACACACAGACACAACCACACACTCACACACACAGACACAACCACACACTCACACACACACAGACACAACCACACACACACAACCACACATGCACAGACACACAGAGACACAGAGACACAGAGACACAAAGACACAAAGACACAGAGACACACAGAGACATGGCCAAGACACAGCCACAGCCACAGCCACTGATATACACAGAGACAGAGACAGAGACAGAGACAGAGACACAAACACAAACACCCGCCCGCCGCCCAGCCGCGCACGCACGCACACACACAAACAAACAAACAAACACCATTGCTATGCCAGACCCGAAGCGTACTGGCAGGTGACCAGGCCAAGCCCCAGCAAGCAGAGGATGCTCGCGCCCATCATCGTAATCAACACATCCAGCCATAGCCAGCGTCGGCGTCGGCGGAGCTTGTTTGCCAGTGCGGAGGCGCAAACCAAAGAAAATATCGGAACAAACATGCTCCTCAGCTGGAACCGGAGAAAGGGACTTGGAGTTTTGGAGATCACACAAGGTCCAGTGAACTTCATCGGTTCAGTTGCCCTTGCATTAAAGAAGACATCCGAAGAAGCCCGCTATTTGGGGGGTCAAAGCTCACTGAAAATTTGCGGGTTCACGCCAAGCACTTCACCGAGCTGCCAAGAGAGCGCGTGGATGCCCACCACAAGCGCGAAATAGAGCTCGCCCTCCCGAAGGCGCGCGGCAATGAGCTCGCATCCACACCAGAGGTTGGTAATTGAGATCCCCAGCGCCCAGTGAAGAGGCAACGCGAACCTGCCCAGCCTCTGGCCCAAGGCCGCTGGAACTTTGGTTTGCACGCAGCTCTCGAAACTCTCCACCGAGCCGAACCTTGGATTCTCCATGGCTAGATTGGGCCCACAAAAACGAGCAAATATGTCAGGACGCAAGTTGCGCCCAGCGAACTTAAACACATAGAACAAAACGCCAAGGAGCCATCGGCAAACGCAATCACGAATTATTTGCCGATCACACAACAGCGGCTGTCCCGAGATGACATCAATATGGCGCACGGTACAGCAGTGGGACTTGGTCTCCTGTCAGGCAATCGGAACGCTAGGGGCTTGAAACAATCCAAAGCCATGCCAACGGCATCCTCGAAGCGGAACTTGGCCAATTGCCGCTTCATGGTCTCTACTGAGCGGTAGTAGCTGCGCAGGACTTGGCCAGCTAAGGTGAAGAGGACCATGCACACCAGCCAGTAGACCAAGTTGCCCGTCATCCTCGCAAATGGATGCCCCAGGCTCGGGCAAAGTGTGCGTGAAGCCCCAGGTGGCGTGCAGATGACTTTGCTCGAACCCCTAACAATGGCGGCACCCCGGCCTGTCTGCAAAAGGAACAAAAATCTGCTGCGCATTAATGAGCACCAGGCTGATACAACCAGCCAGCGCGATGGGGCCCATGAACGTGGGCCGGATGGCCAATCGATTGACACTCTGCTCCTGGCTTTGCAGGAAAGCAGCTAGCTCGAAGACACACCAAAGGCCTTAGCTGCAGAAATTCCCTGAATCTTTGGCCGCTTTTTGCCAGCCGCTGACTTGCAAACTGCCGGGCATGAAACCAAAACTGCGGCCAATGGTAAGATTTGAAGTAGCATAGAGCATCCTAAGTTAAAGGGGATCTTGATTGCTGCACTCGTCCGCCAAAGTGGCAGCAATTGATGTGTAACATGAAATCCCAACTGACGCAAAGTGCCCAGCACAGTCAACTCAACGTCCCAGTTCTCCCCCGCTCGAACAGGCTGATTCAATCAACGTGAGAGGCCAACCGGGGAAAGACAAAGCGAACCGGCATCCAAAGAAAAGAAGCGACACACACACACACACAAATGACAAAACAATGCCACATGCGCAACAGGCAAAACAGCTCAAATACCCCCAAGTACAACAGTACACAGGCCGCAGCAAAAGCTGCAGCAAACCCGAGAGGGAACACTCGAAGCTGGCCCCACTTTGCGGAGGGGAACCGGAACCAGCAGCCGGTCAATTACTGTCTTTCAACACTTCATGAAACCCTGGCGCGAAGTTCAAGCCGCAGCGGCGTTCCACGTAGGAAGGATCCCACAGAACCAGCATTGTATCAGAGTTTTTCAAGAAGGCGCCAATGCTGAGGATAGCCTGTGCCTTCAAGTTCTCATCCGTCTGGTGTATGCCTCAGCTGTTCAACACGTTGAGAAGCGTTTGGAGATGCTACAAATTGCTCAGAAACGAAGTCAAACAAACTGCAAACTGCTGCTCAGGGATGTGTCTGGTGAGCCTGTTTGTTCTTGCGCTGTTGGGTTTGGCAAAGACGTCACGACCAGTGGGACACCGCATAGGCTTGACACGTGGCCATGGGTCAAAAGCCCGTACTCCCAAGTGAACATTTCAATTCCCACAATAGGTTCTAAAATGGGTGGTGAATTCACCTACCCCAAAATTGGATCCCAAAACGGTTTTGACCACCACAGCCACCTTGAACGGCTCCGGTCGAATTTCGCGCAAGCCGAGCCGCAGACGCGGTCAAGGAAGATGGAGCCCCGCGGCTGCCAGAGGAGCAGCGCCAGGCCCGCCACCAGGGCGCCGCCACCTAAGCCCCACATCGAGAAGATGTAGACCGTGCCGGGCTCCAACGTCGCCGCTTTGGCGTAGCCCGGCAAAAAGTTCCAACTGGTCAGCGCCAACAGCAACAGAGCCGCCCAGCTGCCAAGAACCACGGCAGGAAAGCCATTGTAGATAAACAACAACACCTCAGTGCGGACGAGAAACAAGTTTTTTGCAGTTGTTGCCGAAATCACCAAGGCCTCCAAAGAATGCAGAGGGCTTTTGCGAGCCGCTCTTTGCTTCCCCGACAGTGCCAGTGCGCTTGAACCAACCAGAAAGCAGTAACGCGCCAAAAGTGCCAACTAGCTTGGGATATCGAGAGAACCGCAAGCACTCTCCAACCCAAGCAACAAAAAAACCAGCTTCCATAAGTTGTCTTCCCTTTTTCAATCCAGTCCTTACCAACCTTCATCTACCCGGGTTTTGATTGTGGCTCAAATGGTCTTCCTGTTTTCAAACCAGTCTGGGGCGCCAGGATCTTCTTCCAGGGCTGGCCGTGCCAGGAGTGGCTCCAGAAGGCGGAGATGCGGGTGGTGGCCCGGCTCAGATGGTGCGCCTCGAAGGGCCCATCCCGCAGCGCCCGCCCGAAGCCGCTCAAAACGCACGACGGCGAAGCGGCGCGCAAGAGCTCCGGATCGCTCACCTGCGATGGGTGCGAGTCCGGGTGTTGGGAATGAACCAGTGTTGGGGATTCCCTGACAGGACATGGGGGATGGTTTAGGGCCATTCCCTGCTGAGAACCAGCAAGACAAGTTGTTCATGTCTTCTGCAGTTGTTTGTTTGCCTCCCGGCACACTGTTCCCTTCCAGCGTTGGCTTTGAGCCTTTTTGCCTTCCCTCCCGCGGAACCTGCATCGCGGACATATAGCGGGCCACTCGCTGGACGACCTTCTGCCGAGCCGCGTCCTGAGCGCCATGCGACTCCTGAGATGAGCACACGGACCCTGGCGACATCGGTCTTGGCGACTGCACCGGTCGTGGCGACTCCGGCGATCTGGGCGACGCCGATCTGGGCGACATGGGCAGCACAGGACGATGCCTTTGCTGAAGTGCACCATTTGAGGCGGGCAGCGCTCTCCGAGTGTGCTGTTCTCGGCCGGGGGGGGCACTGATGTAGGTGACTGGTGTGGTGTTGGATTTGATAGACGCAGAAAACCAAACATGAGAAGGCCCTGGCATTGCCCTGGGCCGTGTGTCAATGCAAGTTCATAACTGCGTTTGATGTGATACAACACCAACGGGCGCAAGTATGGGCAAGTTAATCCCATTCTCCCACATCTAGACTCCTCCCAACTTCTCACATGACTCACCCAGCTGGGGCAACGGCCCGAAAGCAGCTGCAGCTCAGCCATGATACTGGGCAAGGATCTTTCGACATCAACACCACAGCTGTCCCAAGCCTCTTGCCTGGCTAAGCCGCCGCACTCTGTTCCAATCTCCACAACCTTAGGACATGGACGCAGTCCCAATGTTGCCAAACCAATTGAAGTTAACTCCTCACAGGCGATGGGACAACCTGCCGGGTGCTGACCAGGTCTGGCTTGAGCTCCCAGAGATGCTCCTATCGGCTGGATCAATTGGGATAGGAATTGGCCCCCTGGTTGGTCAAAGGCATTCAAAGTTCCGTATTTCAACTTGACCTGCCAAAGTTGGTTTAGGGCTGTGCGGCAGTGCAACTCCTTCCCAACCTGAAGAATCTAAACCATCTGACTCAAGGCTGGTTGTCCACAAGGTGCTGACCCGAATGACCAAGAGTGCCACTTCTGCCGCCTGCAGCTGCAGCAGAGTCATGGGGTCCTGACCCACGAACATTCGGCTGAGCTCTGCAAGCCGGCGTCGGATCCAGGACAACCTAAATCGACATAGATTCCAAAAGCTCAAGCAAGAATCTTCATACGGATGTGGGTCAAATCTAAGCCACCAGGATATGGACCGCAGGTGTTAGTTTTTGGTTCCATTTACCAGGGTTCCATTTTGGGTACCTATTTCGACCCACAGCCATACTTTGCCATGTCCTGTGATGCCCGCACGCCGAAGAGTCTTGATGCCAGGCCCATGTGGTTTGATAGCCTTCGCTTGCGAGCTGTGCGGGTTGTCAGCTGTGCCAAAGCAGGGCCCCCGACACTTCATACCCAAAGGCCACGTCATCAATGCGGATCTTCTGCGTGTCCTCGCATAGTGACGTGAGAGGCAAAGCACAACACAAGACGCTTCCAGCTTGAACACTGCCACGAGGGGCAACCGTAAAAAACCAGCGTCCTCCAGCAGCAGCTCTGATCCATTGCGGTAGAAGGGCCTAGGTACCAAGCATTCTATTGTCATCGCTGGCGCGCTTGACTTCCAACTTGACAAAGATAATCAACCAAATAACACATAACAAAGCCTCACGAACACGAGAACCCTTGCTTTGTCACAGTCAGTGGCAGGTGAAATTCTTGGGGAGTCACCAAAAGGAAACCACCCATTTGGCTGTGGTTGTCAAAACCAATGGGATCCCATTTTGGGGTAGGTGAATTCACCACCCATTTTGATCGATTTTAGCGGGGATTGAATCGGATGTTCACTGGCAGGACGATTTGGATTTTGAAAAGCCCATGGCCATTTTAAGCTCCACAACTTTGAGATCGCTGTGCGCCGTACCGCTGCGCCTCGCTCAGGTCTCCCACTTCCTGCCATGTGAGTCAATGCCTGGCGTCCTGACACAGTACCTGTGGGAAGTTGCCTTGACAAATGGCTGGCCAAGAATAGGTACCCAAGCTGGAACCCTGGTAAAGACTGAAAACCTGCGGTCCATATCCTGAAGGTTCAATCTTTTTGACCCACACCCAAGTTTCCTCAAGGACGCTCCTGCCAGGTGCTAATGTGTCACCTAAATCGGGGCATGCCACACGCCCGCTATCGAACTCGCCCCGGGGGATTGGCGCGCAGCGTCGCTGGTACAGCCAGCATTCTCCTGATGGCAACGTCATCCGGTGTCTTCTCAATCTTGTGGGGCGGATGACGTGGACACATGGCCATGGGCTTTTCAAAATCCAAATCGGATTTAGCCCCCAGTGAACATCCGATTCAATCCAACCACTAAAACGGGTTCTAAAATAAGTGGTGAATTCACCTACCAACCAAAATGGGATCCCAAAACGGTTTTGACAACCACAGCCACATAACGCGGAGGCTACGCGGCTGTCTTCCCCCTACTTGAAACCGTGGCATTGAGCAAAATCCCTCCTCTTGCCTGCCAGCTCTGACAATGGACAGTTTGGGATCGGGCAATGGGCTGGGTGGCGGGCCGGAGGTCTTGCGACGCATGAAGGATTTGCAGCCTTGAAGGGTTGGACTGCCAGGATTGTTGCCAAGTAACATACCCTGCATCAGCTAGTCATGTGTAGACATGCTTGGGTTGCGGCCTTGACTCTCGCAGAGTGAGTGGCAGTGAGAGGCGTCCTGATCGGCTGAGCGCAGCAATAGGGTGCTGCAATGTCCAAGCAAGCACGTGTGCCAAAGCAAAAGCGACTTGCTGCAGAGCAGAAGCTGCTAGGATCGCTTGAATTCCAGAAACCCCCATTGGCCCATTCAAGTAGGTCGCACAGCTACCTATGTGCCCCAGCATGCCAGTTCAGATGCGCAGGTTACCATTCAGATGCCTTGCAGGTCTCAGGTCAACCGGTCAACATAGCCGCTCCTCCGTCTTTGCCACATAGGCCTGCAGCACCTCCGTCCTAGCCTCATCCTAGAATGGAAGAACCCCGGCATGAGGAATCGCATGCCTTCCTTCGCCATGTTCCCGCATGTCTGGCATACGTGCAGGTGAGCTACATATACAAGAGGAAGAAACCAGGGTTGCACTTCAGCGTCTGATTCTAACGTCTTGTTTGTGGGACTCTGGTGAAGAGCAATGGATGGGGGCTTCGATGTCAACATGCCATGCCTCCAGCGCTGGGAAAGCACAGGCATGCCCGGGCCAAAGGGCCTGGACAGATTTGAGCATCAATTTGGTCCCTTTGGCGGACGTCATTTCGGTTGGGTGCTCTATCCACCAACCAGGGAGCAGTGAAAACAAGTATAGCTCGTAGCCATTTCACTTGACTGCTGTCTCATTGCCATCTGGAGAAGCCATACCCAGGTCGATCCTGCACACGTTACACGGTCAGCCTGATAACAAATATAATATGGCTGTGGGTCAAAACCAATGGTATCCCATTTCACCACCCATTTTAGAACCTATTTTAGTGGAGGTTGAATCGGATGTTCACTGGCTAACCGATTTGGATTTTGAAAAGCCCATGGCCATAGCTGAGACGACGGCAGTCTCGATGGCTTGCGCCCATGGGATCACAAGAACGCGCAACATGCCATGACGGGTTCGGCTGCCAAACCTCTGGGGGCTAACATGCGCACCTGTGAGTGTGGCCATGCGCATCTTAAATCCAAACAGTTGCTGTGTCTTTCGCCGGAACTGTTTATGTCATCAAAAGAGTTGCAATTCTCAGTTCCTGATTCCTGTGTTTGCCTTTGGAGCCATATGAATCAAAATGCAACGCTCTCAAGGCGTCTTCCACTCAATGCTGGCCATTTTACACCTCTGCGCGGTCAGCTTCCAGCAAAGCACTGCCTCGGTTCTGAAGCAGACGTTTTGCTTGGAAAGAAGCAGTCACGGGACGGGGTGCACGGTGAGAGGCGGGCGGCGAACGTGGCAATCTCATCACACCGGGAATAACAGCACTAGCAGCAACAACCATGGCAACATCGGGGTAAGCAACTAGCAGCCACAAGCAATAGCCGCCAGCAAGTAGGGCCCTGGGCAACATGCCGGAAGTCTTACATAAGAAGCATGCAAAACATGGCATACGGGAAGAGCAACCAGCAAAAAACTAGCGACAACCATCAAACACACCATCTCAACATCTCAGCAAACCACAGCTGGCATCATTGAGACAAACAAGCGACAACACACAGATTACGCTAAATGACAAGCAACACAACAACTTGGCAACTACACACGCAGAAAAAAAACCAACAACAACAACAACAACAACAACAACAACAACAACAACAACATACAAACGGTGGTGATGGAAACCAATTACAACAGCAAACACTATGATGGTGCTTCGTGGCAGGCCCCTTGACAGGGAAAGTGCTTGCATCTGTGGTGTGATCATCAAGAAGCAATCGTCTATCTAATTGGCCTTTGATAGTCTCGCATCATTTTCCGTGCCCTCTTGTTCATCTGAAACAGTTATCCCCCAAACTCCTTGAGGCTTTGGCACAAATCCTTCCCAAACCAGCGCTCCAAATCAAGTTCTGAAAAGAGAAAGTGCATCCATCTCTTGTTGGGATGTGCTGCCCAGTAGCAACCCGTCCATAACATAACCCAGCTGGCAAAGGTTCTGAACCCCCCGTCACCCCTCTTGACCCACATGTATGCATGCACAGATCAACTCGAAACAACTCTGCTGTAGGTTGGTCTCAAATTCAGAGACCCCCATGGTAAAGTGATAGCTGGATATCAAACAGCCCAAGGGTCGAGCTTTTGGCATCTCCCGTAAGAGGTTGCCAACATAGCGGCCCGAGCTTGGAGCTTCCTTCTGCCATTTCAAGCGCCAGGTTTGACACACAAAACAGGTGGATTAGGTTGGGGCCCTTTCGGGGTTTCTCAAAGTGGTGCCCAAAACGGTTGGTTGAAACCTGGGCTGGCCTCAGATCTGCCAAAAGTTTCACTTGTGGATTAAATGTACACCCAACCACTTAACACCTAAAAACGACTCAAAGAACCGGATGCCTGGGCATAGGAAGCCTTTTTGGAACAATCGATGGGTTCCCCTGGTAAATGGGTAATAAAACCCATCTAAAACAGTGGAACCCATGAGGCTTTGACCACAGACGCCGCGCATGTGTGATTGCCCCCCAGGGCACCTGCTACCGCCTCATGGCTGCTACCCCTCTTGGTGCCTCACTGCTCACTAGTTTCCTCACGTTGCATTGCAACGGGGTCCAAGGTGCAGGCACCTCCAGCTCTATTCTCACCAAGGCAATTTTTGTAACTAAAACCTACAAACACCTATGGCAGCCACTTTAACGACGCCAGTCTTACCCCCAACCTTCCCCTCCTCCCGGCCGGATCTGCCCCCTCTCCGGGTCTGGGCCTTCGGGCCGTCCAGGGCCGTGGCCTGGCGCGCGCGCTTTTGGTGTCGCTCCACGCCCAAGGCTTCCAGCTGCAGGGCGTTGGCCACCGCCAGCACCGTGCCCTCCCCGCCTGACTGGAGCGAAAGCGAGCGGAAGCGAGCGGAGGCGAGCGGAGTGGCGTGGGGGTGGAGGGGGCGTGGGTGAGGGGGGGTGGGTGGGTGGGGTGGGGGTGTGGGGGTGGGTGGAGTTGGTGGGGCTGATTCATCACCGGCCACTCTGCAGGTTCCATCTCCTAAAAGGCCGGGTGAAGGGCACCCAACAGCGGAACTGCGCTGGAAGCGAAGCGTCCTTGGAACCCTTCCTGACAGCTGCCCCAAACCACCCCTTATCGCCTATCTGGGCAAAGACCCCATAATGCGATAGCTTTCAGCAGTTGGACTCCAACATGTTCGGAGGTTGAGTGGCGTTGTGAATGTCATGGAAGTTTGGGAGATCAAAGCGGCAAGCATTGCAAGATCTAGCCAAGCCGCAAAACGGGTCCACTACGACACGGCAGCCGCAGGACTTCCTCAGATTGACAAGCTGGCACCAGGTCCAGTCCAGGTCGGGAGTTCTTGATTCAAGCAATGTCCAGACCCATGGCACCTCCCTGCAAAGCCCCATGTGAGCCAGGGCACAGGTAGCTGCAGGCTTGCTCCACGGCATGTACGCCGGAGCCCGACGTCCAGGTGGCCATGCCCTTTCCTTAGCGAACCGAGTCGACTCGACGGATCCGGAGGGATCCGAAGGTCTCAGGTCCGGGCGGATCACATCCGGGAACCCGCGATCCAGCGACTCCTCCCAGTCCTGGCGGGGGAAAAACCACACGTCAGACATGAACGAGATTGCCACAGAAAAGGAAACACCGAGTCTTTCCAAGCCAAGCAGCGTCGTTGGTAAAGCACAGGTAGTGAGTGTATCCAGCCTCACCACATGCACTTGATGCTTTCGTGCGGGTGATGCTCTTCCACGTGACCCGTGACGTGACCTGCTCTTCTTTTTGCCTGGCCTTGCAGACTACTTGCCTCTGGGGTTTCGCACGTGCCCCCGATCAAGCAACATGCAGCAGCCTAGCAAGCGGTGCAGCGAGTACATCTTAACATCTCCTACTTCCAAGCAGAGGAAAGAAAGTCGAAAAAGAGAGAAGGCTTTGGAGAAGCTCGTGTCTTTGCAATCACAATATATTGGAGTCATGTTGAATCAAGTGACAACCTCAAGAGGTCCAAACCACATTGACAGTCAAATGATTGACTACCATTGCCACGCTGACCTGCCACACCATGGACCCACGCCTTAAACAGCTACCATCTACAACTAGCTTGCCTTTGGCCTTCATTCAACCAACAACGACAACTGCAAAACTGCATGGGTTCCCAAAATAGTGATATTGATTTCGTCCCCAGAAGAAGCCCGCATGTTCCGCTTTCCCGGTGCGTGGCAAGTAGCGCTGAAGCCACTCCGCCCACCACCCGACAACTTCCCGGAGAAGATGATGCGGTGCCACAGCAGCCGTGCTCGTGGCCTGAGGCTGACCAGTGTATTCGGCAGGAAGGGGGACGCAGGACTCAAAAGGACACCCTCGAAAACACGCAACAAACATTGACAATCATTCACATGCGTGCCAAAACCGCCATGGAAGCAGTCTGGCCCAAAATGCCAGAATGTGCACACTGCTCACACTCACAAGCACACGTGCACGCAAGAAGCCGGGAGCCAGGCAACTGTGATGCAGCCGCCAATGCCAAATGAGACTTGTCCAACCATTGCCAATAGCTGCCCCCCTTTGCGTTCCGGCCATGGCTTCCGTCCTTCGTCACCTGTCAGTTCGAAACAGAATCACTGGTGTCTGGGAAAACCGGGCATCAGCATGCTTGGCATTATTCAGATTAGAGGGCCATGAGGGTGTGCGAGATTGCCTCTGCATGGCCAGCTGTCACCCTAAATCAGTCCAGACGGTTTTTGACCTCGGTCTTGACGGCCCACTACAGTATGCATTGTAAGTAGGACTACCCTTTTCCAACAATGCAAGTGGACAGGAGGCCTTTGGCAATCTTCCAAAACCCGACGATCCACTTCCATGATTCGACTTTGTTCTGCAATCCCTAACGGCAAGGGTAGAACAATGGCAACAAGGCAAACCTAACCAATGTTCCATTCAGGTTCCTTTGTTGCCGTCGACCCCTCTTTAAACGGCTTGTGCAATGGAACAAATCCGACCTGTTTCGACCAAACAGTTCAATTCCAAAGATCCTTTGCCAAATAGCCATAAAGGTTCGGTTGGTAATCTTGAGGATCGGTTGCGCCCATGAAGGATGCCTTGACGTCGGTCTGCATGAAAATGGCTCGGCCCTTGGGCGGCAACTTCTCTAAGATTAGCTTCACGGTCATCTGGAACCACTCCACGTAACCTCGGAATCTGTTGAAACCCAATGAAAGAAACTGAGGGAGCTGCCAAACCGCAGGTTTTGGGGACCGTCACTCGCGCAAGTCGAGGCCCTGTGCCAAACAAGCACTGGCCGCAGCTGGCGCAGCTCAGGTGAGACCAATTCAGAAAAAGTGGAGTGCAGTGATTCCAACGTGCTTTGTCCTACTCACAATGACTCACATGACAGATTGCTTGGAATGTTTAGGATTCGGTCCGATTTCGTGACGGAATCATGTTGCAATTTCAAGCGCTCGCATGCACATTCAGGCAAGGGGAAGCGGGTATCTAAATGGAGTGGGTCTCAATTCTGGCTACCATGATCTCGTGTAGCTGAGCATCTTCAAAGGCTTTCGTCTGTGTATGGTGTCTGCAGGTAACACGAGCTTCCATTTTTGGAGACATCTTGCCGTACTGAAATCCACCACGGTTCTCCCCACCGGGGTTGAAGCTGTCCAGGCACATGCTGTCCATCTCATGGATGTCTGGCACACCTGGCCCGCTATGCCACGAAATGGGATGGCAGTGAGCACAAACAATTGTCGGGGGGTCGTATCAATGTGTCAGCAACCAACAGTGTTGCTGGACATCTACCGTTGATTTGGGGAGGCCATGTGGGACAACCCAAAGAAGAGCCACAGAAACCAGCGGGACAATTTGCCATGCCCTCGCCGGGAAACACAAAGACTTGTCGGAGGATCGTGTCAATGTGTCAAACACGGAACATCCTCCTTGCGGAACTTTCGATTGAACCAGCGGTTGGAGGCAGCCAATCCCGCAGCAACCGAAACCAC